CTATTACAAGTAGCACTCTTGTATTTAATTCTAAGATCAACTGCTGCTACTGGTTTCAGCTTGTGGTTAGAGTATGACTGCAGAACTCGATGTAAACGTTTAAGCTCACCAGCGTGTAAAACAATGTATTACACTTTGCACCAGTATCAATTCTGAATGGCACTTTCTGTGACAGAATTTCAATGTCTGCTGTCCATTTGTCACTACTTACTTCCTTTGTCTGTGTCAAATTAATGTTGAGAATTTCCTCCTCTATCGTTTCTGATTCCTCCTCAATGCTTACTGTGTTGACGGATCTTTTGCGACATACTGCCACCCAGTGGTTTGGCTTGTGACAGTAGGAACAGGCATTTTCCTTGATTCCACTTATGCTGTGGGTCTTTGCCACAACTTGTGCACTTTTTGGGCCAGTTTACATGCATTTCTTTCTGATCATATTTTGTTTGATTCTTTTGCTAGGCCTTTTTGTTTGCCGCTTGATATTTTGTTTTCACATGCACTGCTCGCACTTGAGACTCTTCTTCTCTGACGATTTGAATCTGCTTCTGTGAAAGTTCGAATTGCTGAGCAATTTCAAGCGCTTTCGGCAGCGTTAAGTCTTCTCCTTTGTCTAACAGTCTTTCTTGGACGCGCTTCTCTCTGACACCCGCGATTATTGCATCGATCAACATGTCATCTTGATCGGCATACTCGCAATCCATTAGTATAAGTCTCGAGTCCTTCACAAAGTGGTCAAAACTCTCAGCATTCCCTTGCTTTCTTTGTTCAAAACGGTGTCTGGCTCAAGGTTAATTTCGTAAACGAAAACTAAAACAAAGACGAAAACGATTGATGAAAAAACTATTTCGTAAACTGAAATAAAATGAAAACGTCAGAATATTTGAAAAACTAAAACGAAATTAAACTAACAACAGTTATTGAAAAACTAACTGAAATAAAATAATAATGATCAAAAATAAAGAATCGTTTTCGTAATCATTACGTTCTCATCCCTTGGCGGAAAAATATATGAGCTGTGTGACAGTTTAGGGAAATACCTGGAAATGGTGCATCGCGCACGTGAGGTTATCTGACGGAGAGACGCAAAGCAGTTTAAAGCAGAGTCCTGCACGGGTCCTGTTTGGTAAACGTGCACCAGCAGTACGTAACAGAACACCCGACCCGTTACCCGACAGCAGCACTCATTTATTTCTATACCAGACCAGGGGTGTGTTTCCCAGAAGCAACTATGGTCGCAAGTTCCGTAGTTACCAATCGAGTTCAATGGAACTAACAACCATAGTTAGCTAACGATGCTTTTGGGAAACGCACCCCAGAACCGTTTGACAGAGTCCCGAACCGAACTCGCATTAATCTACAACATCAGGTAGGCAGAATTATTTATTTTCTCATGTAACACAAGCAATCAAACCAACATTAGGCATGTTGGTGCTTTGAAGAGAAACAGACATGCAGAGCAATATAATTAACAGAAAAAAAGATGAGAACACGCCTTTCTGTAAACAATACAAAACTTTAGCCTAGCATCTTGTGATCACTCTGCCAGGCTTTCGGACAAATGTGCATAGGCTAAATCACATCATACACACGCTTATAATTCTTCATAAATAAAGAAAAGAACATATTCAAATATGAGCTTTATTGTTAAATATGATTGCCGTTATTATTACATTTCATTAGTTCCAGTTATGATTGATGCGCGGCTGTTCACGGAAAAGTGAGCAAGACACGACAGTTACAATATCATGATTATGGTTAAATAAGATAAAAGACATATAACCAAATTAGGCTACAATTATTTTCATATTAAATATCTCAACACACATCATTGGATATGGCATTAAGCGCAACTTGTATAGATTCATTTAGTAAAAAAGGCTTGACTGCTTTCTTTGGCGTATATTTGTATACTTTTACTATCTGATCAATCTCAGCATGCGTTCATTTTGTGTCGCTAGACGTTTGCCTCACTAAGGTTAAATTATGCCTACGTCTTTCTTTGGCCTGCGCTCTGGAAGTGATCTGTTAATTCTGCTAAACTTGAATTAAAACTGAAACTAAACTATATAAAAACTAAATAGAAATGTGTTCACAAAATA